AGCCATAAAACCTTTTTTTTAAATAGGAAAAAAACTTCAGGATCTAGAGCTAGTCAAAGAGTTCTTAGACTTGAAATCAAAAACATAATTTATAGAAGAAAACACCGATTAACTGGGCCTCCTCAAAACTAAAAACCTTTCTCTGTGAATACCCTTTGAAGAGGTTGAAAAGACAAGATACAAGGGAAAAAAACATTGCAAACCTTTGTGTATCTAACAAAGGACTTGCATCTAGAATATATAAAGAACTCTCAAGACTAACAGTGAAAGAACAAATAAGCCAATTATAAAATGGACGAGAGACATGAAGAGGCATTTCACTGAAGAAGATATACAGATGTGAAAGAAGTAGAGTCATACATAGCTTAACAACAAGGGTATGTTCTAAGAAGTATGTCAATAGATGATTTTGTCCTTGCGCAAACATCATAGAGTGTACTTACACCTAGATGGTACGGCCTACTACACACCTAGGCTATACGGTAGCGCCTACTGCTCCTAGGCTCAAAACTGTACTGCAGGCCGGGCGCGGTGGCTCAAGCCTGTAATCCTAGCACTTTGGGAGGCCGAGGCGGGTGGATCACGAGGTCAGGAGATCGAGACCATCCTGGCTAACATGGTGAAACCCCGTCTCTACTAAAAATACAAAAAACTAGCCGGGCGAGGTGGCGGGCGCCTGTAGTCCCAGCTACTCGGAGGCTGAGGCAGGAGAATGGCGTGAACCTGGGAGGCGGAGCTTGCAGTGAGCTGAGATCGCGCCACTGCACTCCAGCCTGGGGCACAGAGCGAGACTCTGTCTCAAAAAAAAAAAAAAAAAATTGTACTGCACACTATTGAACCAAATGCTGTAGACAATTGCACAATGCTAAGTGTCTGTATATCTAAACATATAAAAGGTACAGGAAAAAATATGCTATAAAAGATAAATGGTACACCTGTTTAGGACACTTGCCACAAATGCCAGCTTGAAGGACTGGAAATTACTCTGTGGTGAATGAATGTGAAGGCCTAGGACATTACCATTCACTGCTGTAGACTTTATGAACACTACAGTACATTTATTTTAAAAAAATTCTTTCTTCAATAATAAATTAACCTTAGCTTACTATAACTTTTTTACTTTATAAACTTTTTAACTTTTCTAACTTTTTGACTCTTGTAATAACAGTTTAAAACACAAATAGATTTTACAACTGTAGAAAAATATTTTTCTTTCTTCATAACCTTATTCTATAACCTTTTTTCTGTTTTTAAATTTTTTTACTTTTTAAACTCTTGAAGAGGATGAAAAGGCAAGATACAGGGAGAAAATATTTGCAAACCACATTTGCACACAAACATACATATTAGCCTAGGCCTACATAGGGTCATGATCATCAGTGTCACATCAATATCATCAAGAGGTCTTCCACCTCCACATCTTGTCCCACTGGAAGGTCTTCAGGGACACGAACATACACAGAGCATGAAAACAATGCCACCTTCTGGAAAACCTCCTGAAGGGACTGCCTGGAGCTGTTTCACAGCTAACTTTTTTGTTTTATAAGTAAAATGTGTACACTCTAAAATAAGAATGGAAAGCCTGTGTAGTAAATGCATAAAACAGTAACAATCATTTATTATCAACTATTATGCATCATACATAATTATATGTGCTATATGTTTATATGACTGGCAATGCAATAGGTTTGTTTACAGCAGCATCACCACCAATACTATGGCTCTATCACTAGGCAATAGTGGGATTGCTGGATCAAATGGTAGTTCTGTTTTTTAGTTCTTTGAGAAATACTCATACTCTTTTCCATAGATGTTGTACTTATTTGCATTCCCACCAACTATGTAAAAGTGTTTCCTTCTCCACACCCTCACCAACATCTGTTGTTTTTTGACTTTTCAATAACAGCCAACTGCTTCAAATTTTTAAAAAAATTTTTATTGCTTTCTTTTTTCTTTTTTTTGCTTCAAATTTTTAGAAGAAATATCAACCAGAGGGCTAATATCCAGAATCTACAAAGAACTTAAACAAATTTACAAGAAAAAATCAAACAATCCCATCAAAAAGTGGGCAAAGGATATGAACAGACACTTCTCAAAAGAAGACATTTATGCAGCCAACAGACACATGAAAAAATGCTCATCATCACTGGCCATCAGAGAAATGTAAATCAAAACCACAATGAGATACCATCTCACAACAGTTAGAATGGCAATCATTAAAAAGTCAGGAAACAACAGGTGCTGGAGAGGATGTGGAGAAACAGGAACACTTTTACACTGTTGGTGGGACTGTAGACTAGTTCAACCATTGTGGAAGACAGTGTGGCGATTCCTCAAGGATCTAGAACTAGAAATACCATTTGACCCAGCCATCCCATTACTGAGTATATACCCAAAGGATTGTAAATCATGCTGCTATAAAGACACATGCACATGTATGTTTACTGGGGCACTATTCACAATAGCAAAGACTTGGAAACAACTCAAATGTCCATCAATGATAGACTGGATTAAGAAAATGTGGCACATATACACCATGGAATACTATGCAGCCATAAAAAAGGATGAGTTCATGTCCTTTGTAGGGACATGAAACCATCATTCTCAGCAAACTATCGCAAGAACAGAAAACCAAACACTGTATGTTCTCACTCATAGGTGGGAATTGAACAATGAGAACACCTGGACACAGGAAGGGGAACATCACACACTGGGGCCTATTGTGGGGAGGGGGGAGGGGTGAAAGACAGCATTAGGAGATACACCTAATGTAAATGACGAGTTAATGGGTGCAACACACCAACATGGAACACGTATACATATGTAACAAACCTGCACGTTGTGCACATGTACCCTAGAACTTAAAGTATATAATAAAAAAATCAACTATTCTGTTTGAGAAGGAAAATGAGTAATAAATTGTCCCTTTGTTGCAATCCACAAACTCTTTCTGACATAGATTACTAAAATTTGCTCATCGCGTGGAGCATCTTTCATTTAGCAAGCTGGTAAAATGTATGAGAAGCCACAAGAAAAGGGTTTTGTAAAAACAGCAAAACTGCATTTCAAAGTGTGCCATTTTTTTTTTTAATTGAGCTTTCTTATCAGGAAAATAACCCACATCCTGAATGCATTTCTAGCACATGCAGAAATAAGATGCTCTTTCATTTTATCTGGCCTCACACTTCCATTCACAAGAATGTTTTCACAGAAATAAAACCAGGATGACCTTTGTGTCCTAACAAGTTCAAAGATGCAAATGAAATCATTTAATTCCTGATCTTTCACTTATTTCTGTTGGTAACAAAGTCTCAGGCACTGCTAATACTCATAGTTTGTTGACAATATTCAGTAGAAAAAGAAATTATTCACATCAATTAGAAGTTAATAAAAAATAAAAATATACATTTATCTATCAGAGTTCATGGAGTTCATGAAACTAAGAGGACACTAGACCTATATTGGTAAACCTTGCTCAGGAATGGAGGTAAGGAGCTAAAAATAATCTGATACTTGCATGTATAAAATCAGTTCATAAATGTTCTGAAAGAGCTTTTTGCAACTTTTTATTATTCATTGTGATTTTTCATCTGAAGCATCATATTAACAGCAATATGGTGAATGAAACGTGAATTTTAGTGACACTGATCTAGGTTTGAATCCCAGCTTTGCTCCTTGATATACACTTCATCACCATGTTGTCACCAGGGCTCCATGAGACAATCTATGTAGAAGGGCCCAGCCTTGTGCATGGCACACAGTAAGCATTCAATACACGCTGGTTTTGTTTCTTTTTCCTTCACCTCTCTCTCCACCAGCAACTGGAGGTAGGAAGGGCTAGATGTATACTCTAGGTGTTTTTCCTGGGCCCTGCAAGTAGGCACTCCTCCACCAGATATTTTTAAAGGGCCATTATCTCCTACTCTGTTCCTCATATACACTCTGAAAAACCAATGCTGCCCCTGGGAACCCACGAACAAAGTAGCCTGATCCCTGACTCTATGCCAATTCTATTCCCCTAAAATAAAAGGCAGCACTGAGAAAGACAAGTTCACCGGACTGTTCATCTGTGATATCACGAAGATCTCAGCCACCCACCCTGGAGCCAAGAGAGCCAAGACAGACCATGAACACGAAGACACGATGTTCTGGTTCCTCTCCTCAGAGCAGAACAAATAGCATCTATTCAGAGTGGAGGGCCTTCTAGGCATGGGGGCACATCAATTTGGGTGCTGTGGCCAATGGCAGTGGCATCACAGACAGTGGTATCATGTGCCAAGCAGAGTGCTAGGAACTTCAGAATAACAGAACCTGCTACCCATCTTCATGATGTATGTCATGGAACCACAGAATGTTAAAGTTCTAAAGGGTCCTTAAAATGATTAAAACCTGATATTACAGATAAACAATTTGCTAAAGACACAATGAGTTATCTAGTGGTCAGGCACAGGTCTCCAGACTCTCAGGAAAATGCTGTTTCCATTGTGCCACACTACCTCTATTAATAGGTTCTAACACCTTCTCTCCCCTACCCCATGATAAATGAAGAAAGTTGTTTTCAAGAGAAAATGTGATGGATGAGGTACTGTGGGAGGCTGAGAAGTAGGTCAGAGGACTCCAACATTTGGGTAGAGTTGCAAAATTCTACAATCTTAACTGGAAATAATTGATACAATGGAGATTCAAAACACAATTGGCCTTTCAGAAGGCATCTGCCAAGGAGAAACTTGAAGAAAAGAAACTGCAAATCCATTTCAGTTTAACCAGAATGTCTGCTTCTTTTGCTCTGATTCTAGTACTGCTCCTTCTCTTTATTTTCTTATGTTTAATTTTTATTTTTATAGATTCAGGGAGTACATACACAGGCTTATGATATGAACAGATCATCGAATGGTGAAGTTTGGGTATCTAGCGTATCCAACACCTGAAGAGTGAACATTATACCCAGCAGGTAATTTTTAAATAGAGGATAAAGCAGAGAAAACAAGTGACAAATGAAATGCCCTAATAACTTGGTAAGCCCAGGCTCCAAAGGCTCAGAAGTTTGTCTTCTTGATAAGCCTGGGAATGTTCTGAAAAATGCTATCCAGTGTTCAACACCCTCTTTTAAAATATGGCAGAGTAGAAAACTAGATCCAAAGGCCTCACAACCTTACTCTCCATTCTGGAATCAATTCTTTCAAAGGAACCAGTTCCCTCTTGTGTAAGTCTCTAAGACTTCTTGCTCTCTTCTTAGGCAAAGGTGGGCTCCATACTCTGTTTGTTCATAGAGAAGAAACATTGTAAATTTTGTGACACTTAATAAAAGATCATATTTTACCCAATCTTCATCTGATGTCTAAAAAATGTCAGACTCAATATGTTTCAATGATCATATTGTTCCTACAACTAAAGAACATGTTAAAGCAGTTTAGTATGGAATATTTCTAGTATCTCTAACCAAGTGCCATCAGCCATTGGCTGGTGGTTTAGGAGACTTAGAATGCCAGGAGTGGCCATGGTTTTCCAGTACTTTACCCATAGCGAATCTTAACTGAGTTAGCTTTCATAAAGACAGACATTTAAATTATGAACAAAAAACTAGCCAGATTCAAAGTATAAATTTGCTAAAGATCAAGTCATGGAATAATTCTAGAGAGGATTTAATGGCTCCACAAAGTAAATAGTCCCTGGCCTTGAAGGACAGATTTCTTGTAAGTAAAAGTTCGGGACTGAGAATCAAACGTTCTAGGTGGAAGGTCAAGCTTGGTCACAGACTATGTATCTTGTCCTCTCTCACTCTCTGGTTTCTTACCCATAATGTGAGGAGCCAGGTGAGCTTGTCTGCCTTATTCATTGCTTGGTGCCACTCATGTAACTGTGCTGGCATATACAATTTCTCAACAAATATTTGTTGAATGCATGAATAAATCTCAGAGAGGCACTGAATCACGGTGGTGAAACGTGTGGACTCTAGAATTAGGAAGTCATACTTCGAGTACCAGCACTATCAGTCACTGGATATGTGACCGGGGATAAGCTTCTGGAACCTCAACAAACCTGTTTCCTCCTCTGTGAAATTGGGATAAGAATAATAATATCAAAACTGTATGTTTTTTAAAAGGTTAGCTCCATGCAAACCTCAACATTTATTAATTTTCTTTATTCTCTGCTGTGAGGAGGACAGCCAATGAACTTGAGCTCCAAGAGGAAACCTTGTGTGACTGGCTCTCCCCAGGCATGAATAATTACTAGCCTATGATGAAGAAGAAGGTTTCCTCTCTGGAGCCTACAGACCTGTGCTTACAGCCCCTGGCGTCTTTTTCCCGCACAAGAGATTTCCGGGTCAGGATGAACAAATACTTCTTGTTCCTCTTCCCCCTTTGCTGCCTCATTGTGGGTGAGTCCCGGACCTGAGGGGTATACTTGAGAGACAGGATCTAGGGAGCTCCAGGGAAACTACAGGTGTAGCATGTGTCCATGCAGGGCTGAGCTTTGGCCACTTTTATGAGCCAGGGGAAGCCGGCCTCCAGAATGCTCCTTTGCCTTCCCTGCCAACTCTTCCATCCTTTTCAACCTCCTGCCATTCTCCTCCAGGTGGGCAGGCCTCTGTCCTGCCCTTTTAACCCACTTTCTCTCTCGGTCCCTACCATTCATTCCCCATAGTCCCAAGCCCTGGCAAGATTTTCCTTAGGGCATCCTTTTTATTTGTAAACCTATATCCCATTTGTTGAGGGAGCTGTCAGTCTATAATGAATAATTTTCAGTTTATTTTAGGACTGAACAATGGCTTTTCATACCCTTTTCAGAGACTTTATATTACAACAAGTAACTCTATGAGAGGAAGTACTGAATGCTCTGGAATCAGACAGATTTTTTTCATGGTTTGTGGTCACAGTCTCGAACTCTCTGTACCTTTGGTTGCTCATTCAAGAAATAGGGACAATGGTGCCTGCTTACAAGGCTTTTGTGAGGATTAAATCAGATGCAACTTAAGAGAACATGGCCCAAATGGGATGCTCAATCATTGCTTTCTTTTCTCATTCAGGTGGACCAGGGATTTTTTTTTTAATTGAACCTGTATTTTGAATAGCTCACCCCACAGAACCTCATAAAAGTGTCACTTATGGTACTACTATTGATGATGCCTTTATGTAGATTCAGATTGAAGCTCAAAATAACAGAATAAATCACCTAACGATATCCAAGCAGCAATATACAACACAAAACAATGGCAAATGTTAGAAACCCAGTAACAGTAACAATAGCTTGGATGAAATATTTTAAAGCCCTCACCCTCCTTATCACACCCATATCTCTAGTAGGCCAGGCTAGCATTCATAGCACCATTTTTAAGCTAGAGAAATCAGTGACGTGGAAGCAAACTTTTTGCTTAAAGTTATCCGGGTTAAAAGGGCTAAAGTTGGGATCAGAATCCTTTTATTCATATGGTGACATTTTCTTTTTATTAAAACTCTGAAATGAGGAGTTCATAAGAGCTCCAACTGTTTACTGCCTAAATACCCCAACCAGGAGCTCTTTATCTGCCTGCCCCCTCCACTATTCATTCCCCACCTCCATCGAATATTTCCAGCTCCATCCCAAGTCCCCACTTTTGCCTGGTCTCACACCATCTCTGTGCTCTCTCCAGCAGTGACATCACTTCGGTGCATAACATGCCACCTTCGCACACGGACAGACCGCTGCAGAAGAGGCTTTGGTGCCTGTACTGCTCAGAAGGACGAGGCATGCATGCTCTTAAAGATCTACCAGGGTAAGTTAGAGGGTCAAGGAAGGTATTGTAAGAGTCTTAGAATCCTTAGGATAGTGCTTCAGCAATTTCACATCTCAAGAGAGGAACCAGTGCAGAGTGCCCCTGAGCATAGATGGTAGCACAGGTCCCTGTGCATACAGACAGAAGATGATTTCAGTCAATGAGACAGGAGGGAGAAGTTGGGATTCTATATTTCCAAGAAAATTGACCAACCAGATTTTTTTGGTAATTGACACATAACAGTTGTTCATATTTATGAGTACATGTGATATTTTTATACAAGCCTTCAATGTGTAATGATCAAATCAGGGTAATAGGGATATTAATCAACTCAAACATTTATCATTTCTTTGTGTTGAGGACATTCCATATGTTCTCCTCTAGCTATTTTGAAACATACAATAAAGAAAATATGGTATATACACACAATAGAATATTATTCAACCATAAAAATAAATGAAATTCTGTCCTTTGCAGAAACACAGGTAAGCCTCGAGGTCATAATATTAAACGAAATAAGCCAGGCACAGAAAGACAAATACCACATGTTCTCACTCATGTATAGGAGCTAAAAAATAAGTTAATGTCATGGAGGTAGAGACTAGAGTGATGATTACCAAAGGCTGAGAAGAGTGGTGGAAGGAGAGGATGAAGAGGGGCTGGTTAATGACCAAACTGATTTTGACTTTGAAGACACTAAATCGCTAGTTGCTAATCTAGCAAGAGAGAAAAATGAAGCAGCTACACAGAGTTGAGGATTTTCAGGGACCTCAGGCAAACAACCCCTGCAGCTGACCAGTGACCTCTGTATCTCCCTGCCTGGGCGCTTTTAGGGAGTATAAGCTGGGAAGCCATCCCTCAACTTACCCTGATGCCTGATTAAATTTTCACCAACAGAACTAGTGCTGGGTTTTACTCACCTTGGAGAGCTTAAATCAAATGCTTATTTTCTGTGGTTCTTTCCTATTTTAGGCAATACTCTGCAGATATCATACATGGTGTGTCAGAAATTCTGCAGAGACATGACATTTGATCTCGGGAATCGGACTTATGTTCATACATGCTGCAACCACAATTACTGTAACTTCCAACTCTAAGATATTTGCCCTCCTGAGGTCTCGTTTTGGAATGTCCCCAATGTTGCTCATCCTTCACACTCTGAAGCCCTTGCTTTCCTTCCGTGTCTGTCCTGACAATACCCCTGCCCTCTCATTAACCTAAGAAGACTAAGCTAGTGTCATCCTTTCTGGTGTCTTCAGCTTGGCTTCTCCCTCAGTCAGAGAATAGTGGTTCTGAACAATGGATTTCTCCTGTTATCGGGAATATTGGCATTGCCATACTCCAAGAAACCTGCCCCAAGAGTTCCTGTACAGTAAAATTTAAAGCAGGGACATTCTAGAATCCTAATTGGCTTAACTAGTTCAGGTACACCAGAAAGCCTTCAGCTAAAAATTCACAACATTTTTATCTGAAATTCCCATGTGTCAGGAGAATGATTAAGCAGAAATAGCAATAAAATGGATGACAGATACTGAAGATTTTTCTCTATGGACACCAAGTTATTTCTACCAGCAGGCAGTGCCCACTTCAAACTCAGCCATTGTGATTTTCCTGGCATTTACAAACTACATCCTTACACTGTTATTAGGAGATAGCAAACAAGGGACTTCCTGGCCTCTGTGACGTTCACTGAGCTCTCACACAGCCGCTACTACTCCTATCGAGATGTACATTCAAGGTGCATCATAACTCTCATTTCTTCCCCTCCCATTCCTAAACCTTCTCTCTTCCTTTCCTCCTTTGCCATTCACCTTTACTATCACCTCCCACCTCCATTATCACCTCCCCATTGCGACACAAACTCTCCCTGTAGAAGCAGGAGGTCCTTTGAAGCTTTGCCCCATGTGTCAGATGACACCTGAGGCATATAACCTAGGGTGGGCTGCCTTTCAGGATCCCTCAGCAAAAGGAGGCAAACATAGTCAAAATACCACCTACCCTATACAGCTTTCTTGAGACTTGGGGGCCTGGCTCAAAGAGATTTGTCTGTTGTTTGCTGCCCATCTTTAAGTAATAAACAGACTTCACATAACTTGTTGTGTGTCGGTGTGTTCTGTCTCATCGAACTCAGACAAATAGGTAACTAAAGCATGATGGAACTAAATAGTAGCCCAAGATATAGTGGAACTCCTGTTTCTGCCGATGGGCAGAGTGCTGATTCCTGTTATTCTCCAGAAAGTGGGAGTCCTTGCTTGGGATTGGTAATGAGCATTGCACTTCTATATTCATGAAACAATTATGACTGTTCTGGAACTTATTATAAATGAAATCACACAGAAACTATTCACTTAAACCTGGCTTCTTTTACTCACCATAATACTGTTTTAATTTTTAAATTTTTAATTTTAGTAGGTACATAGTTGGTGTACATATTTATGGGGTACATGAGATATTCTCACAAAGGCATGCAAAGCACAATAATCACATCATGGAGAATGGGGTATCCATCCCATCAAGCGTTTATCCTTTGTGTTACAAACAATTTAATTATATATTCTTTTAGTTATTTTTAAATGCACAATTAAGTTATTATTAACTGTAGTTGCCTGTTGTGCTATCAAATACTAAATATCATTCATTCATTCTATTTTTTGTACCCAATAACCATCACAACCTCCCCTCCAACCCCCCACTATCATTCCAAACCTCTAGTAACCATCCTTCTAATCTCTATGTTCATGATGAATTCAATTGTTTTGATTTTTAGATCCTACAAATAAGTGAGAACATGTGATGTTTGTCTTTCTGTGCCTGACTTATTTCACTTAACAGAATGACCTCCAGTCCATCCATTGTTGTCATTGTTGCAAATGACTGGATCTCACTTTTTTTTATGGCTGAATAGTACTCACTTGTGTATATTTACCACATGTTCTCTATCCATTTATCTATTGATGGAAAGTTAGCTTGCTTCCAAATTTCGGCTATTGGGAAGAGTGCTGCAACAAAGAGTGCAGATATCTCTTCAATGTGCTGATTTTCTCTCTTTTAAGTATATACCCAGCAGTAGGACTGCTGGATCATATGGTGGCTCTATTTTTAGTTTCTTGAGAAATCTCCGAACTGTTCTCCATAGTGGTTGTACTAATTTACATTCCCATCAACAGTGTGTGAGGGTTCCCTTTTCTCCACATCCATGCCAGCATTTGTTACTGCCTGTCTTTTGGATATAAGTCATTTTAACTGGGATAAAGTATTTCATTGTAGTTTTGATTTGCATTTCTCTGATGATAAATGATGTTCAGAACACTTTCATATGTCTGTTTTCCATTTGCATGTCTTCTTCTGAGAAATGTCTATTCCAATCTTTTGCCCATTTTTGACTGGATTATTAGATTTCTTCCTATAAAGTTGTTTGAGCTCTTTATATATCCCGGTCATTATTCTCTTGTCAGATGGGTAGTTTGGAAATATTTTCTCCCATTTTGTGGGTTGTCTCTTCACTTTGTTAATATTGTTTCCTTTGATATGCAGAAGTTTACATTGATGTTATCCCATTTGTCCATTTTTCCTTTGATTATCTGCGCTTATATGGTATTGCCTAAGAAATTTTTGACCACAACAATGTCCTGGAGAATTTCCTAAAAGTTTCCTTACATTCATTTAATGGTTCAAGTCTTTAATCCATTTTGATATGATTTGTGTATATGGTGAGAGGTAGTGGTCAAGTTTCATTCTTTTGCATATGGATATCCAGTTTTCCCGGTGCCATTTATTGAGGATTCTGTCTTTTCCCCAGTGTATGTTCTTGGCATCTTTGTCAAAAATAAGTTTGCTGTATGTGTGTGGATTTGTTTCCGAATTCTCTATTCTGTTCTATGTGTTCTATATATTCTGTTCTAGGTCTATGTGTCTGTTTTTATGCCAGTACTATGCTGTTATGGTGACTATATCTCTGTACTATAATTTGAAGTCAGGTAATGTGATTCCTCCAGTTTTGTTCTTTTTGTTCAGAATACCTTTGGATATTCTGGGTCTTCTGTGATTCCACGTAAATTTTAGTATTTTCTATTTTGGTAAAGAATGTCATTGGGATTTTGATAAAAATTGCATTGAATCTGTAGAATGTTTTGGGTAGTATGGACATTTTAACACTATTGATTCTTATAATCCATGAACATGAAATATAATTTAATTTTTTAATGTCTTCTTCAATTTCTTTCATCAGTGTTTTATAGTTTTTGTTGTAGAGATATTTTACTTCCTTGTTTAAGTTCATACCTAAGTATTCAATTTTTTCTGTGGCTATCATAAATTGGATTTCTTTCTTGGTTCCTTTCCCAGAATGGTTGCTATTGGCATACATAAATGTTACTAATTTTTGAATGTCAATTTTGTATTCTGCAACTTTATTGAGTGTGTTTATCAGTTCTATTTTTTGGTGGAGTGTTTAGGTTTTTCCTACTACAAGATCATATCATCTGCAAACAAGGACAATTTGAATTCTTCCTTTCCAATTTGGATGCCCTTTATTTTCCTCTCTTGTCTAATTGCTCTAGCTAGAAATTCCAGTACTATGTTGAATAACAGAGGTGAAATTGGCATTCTAGATCTAAGAGGAAAGGTTTTCAGGTTTTATTTTCATTTTTTATGATATTAGCTGTGGGTCTGTCATATATGGTTTTTATTATGTTGAGGTATGTTCATTCTATACAGTTTTTTGAGGGCTTTGAACATGAAGGGATGTTGAACTGTATTAAATGCTTTTTAGCATCAGTTGAAAATATCATATGCTTTTTTGTCCTTCTTTCTGTTGATATGGTGTATCACATTGATTGATTTGCATATGTTGAAGCATCCTTGCATCCCTAGTACAAATCTCACTTGGTCATGATGAATGATCCTTTTAATGTATTCTTGACTTAGGTTTGCTAGTATTTTGTTTGGGATTTTGCACCAATATTCATCAGTGATATTTACCCACAGTTTTCTTTTTTTGATGTGTCTTTGTCTGGTTCTGGTATCAGGTAATATTGGTTTCGTTGAACAAGTTTGGAAGCATTCCCTTCTCTTCTATTTCTCAGAAGAGTTTGAGTAGATTTGACATTAGTTCTTTAAATGTTTGGTAGAACTCAGCAGTGCAACCATCAAGTCCTGGGCTTTTTTCAACTGAGTGACTTTCAATTACTGTTTTGGTCTTGTTACTTTTTACTGGTCTCTTCAGGTTTTGAATTTCTTCATGTTTTGAATTTCTTCATGTTTGAATCTTTGCAAGTTATATGTGCATAGGAATTCATTCATTTATTCTAGATTTTCCAGTTTATTGGCATATAATTGCTCATAGTACCAACTAATGATCCTTGGAATTTCTGTGGTATCAGTTGTAATGTCTCCTATTTCATCTCTAGTTTTAATTATTTGGGTCTTCCCTCCTTTTTTCTTAGTCTGGATAAAGATTTGTCAATTTTGTTTATCTTTTTAAAGAAATCAACTTTTGGTTTCATTGATCTCTTGTATTGTTTTCCATCATTTCAAATTCATTTATTTCTGCTCTGATCATTATTTCTTTTCATCTACTAATTTTGAGTTTGGTTTGCTCTTGCTTTTCTAGTTCTTTAAGATGCATCATTAGGTCATCTATTTGAAGTTTTTTTTTTCTTTTTTGATGTAGGCACTTATAGCTATAAGTTCACCTCTTAGTACTGCTTTCACTGTATTCCATAGGTTTTGGTATGTTGTCTATTATTTGTTTCAAGACATTTCTCAATTTCTCAATTTTTTTCATTGACCCACTGGTCATTTGGAAGTATATTATTTAATTTCCATGTGTTTGTATACTTTTCAAAATTCCTCGTTACTGATTTCTAGTTTTATTCCTTTTTGCTCAGAGAAGATGTTTGGCATTATTTCAACTTTTTTGAATGTTTTAAGACTTGTTTTGTGACCTGCCATAGGACGGATCCTTGAGAATGATTCATGTGCTGAGAAGAATGTGTATTCTGCACCTGTTGGATGACATATTTCATAAATATCCATTAGATCCATTTGTTCTATAGTGCAGATAAGGTCTGATGTTTCTTTATTTTCTGTTTTGATGATCTGTCCAATGCTGAAAGAGGGATGTTGAAGTATTCAGCTATGATTTTATTGAGATATTTCTCTTTAGCTCTAATAACATTTGCTTTATATATTTCATGCTCCAGGACTCTGTCCTGGTCTGCAAAGTCTTCACTAAAAAGTCTGCATCCAGACATATTAGAACTCCACTGTATGTGATTTATTTTCTCTTACTGCTTTTAAGATTCATGCTTTATCCTTGACCTTTGGGAATTTGGGTTAAATCTGTTTACTGTTCTATTGTTTTCTTGTATTTGAATATTTCTTTCTCTCTGTTTGGGAAGTTCTCTGATATTATCCATTTCAATAAACTTTCTATCACTGTCTCTTTTTCTACCTCCTCTTTAAGGTCAATAACTCTTAGATTTGCCCTTTTGAGGTTGTCTTCTACATCTTAGAGGCATGCTTCATTTTTTTTTTTTTTTTTTTTTTGCATTCTCAGCCTATGCTGCTTTATTGCTAAATAATATAAATACACAGGTGCAGAGTTTCCAATTCTTTTAACGGTTCCTTTTTACACCAAAGAATTAAATTTCTTCTTCAAAAAACCCAAAGATGCATAGATTAAAAAGCAAGCTGCCTTTTGTAATACTTCAAATAATATTCAATGAAATTCTTTTTAATATTATACACCAACAGTGCAATGGAGAATATGAAGGACAGCAAATAAACACAGTGAGCAACTCTTATTCTTACAAGGCAGTAAGTAAAGTATAATGTGAAGGACAGTCTAAGATAATCTTTCTGGTTATAACAGATGGGTGGTTTTAAGATAAGTGTCAAGACTGTTACTGTTTAACGATTGAAGATAATGTATTACTAGGATACCTTTCTTACCCCTGGGAGAAAAATATTTTTTCACTGATGGAATGACATATCATCACCAAGGGAGAAAAAAACCTGAAAACTGTCAGTAACTAAGATACCTATTCTGACTTTAAAGAAGGTATAGGAATTAATGCAGAAATCCTTCTT